GAATGGATATATAAAACAAAAACTTTTTTCTCTAGGTAAAAAATCTCTATTTACTTCCTAAAGATATCTTCTACTTATAACAAAATATTATTATATCTTTTTCTTAAATGTAATTTTTTTATAGATTAAACATTTAGTTTAAATTATACCAAGCAAAACCATGTATACTTTTCTTTTCTCTTTTTCTTATTTAGATTTTTTTTAAGATACAGTTCTTTATTTACAGCAAGAAATTTTCTTAAATAAGTTATATATATATATATATATATATATATATATATATTTCCTTTTATATATAATTAATTAATAGAAACAAAAAGTTCAAATATATATTCCCATATAGTGAAATCGTGGATTGGCAAATCAAAAGTTTCTAGATAGAGCTTTTTGATGTGTCCATTCCATGCATCTATCCGCTTTTAATATACCCAAAATGTTATAAATTTGTAATATATATCTTACAACTTTTATAATATATAACAAAAAGAGTGTAGTTGAGTGAAAAGATGTCATCAGAGAAATATAAGGTAGCAATTGTTGTTGATCCTTCGATGAAAGACATTTCAATTGGAGAAGAAACCAAAAAAGAGAGACCTTCTTCGTCAGCCATGTCCTCTACAGGAGTCTTCGCCGCCATCTCTTACATGGCATCTGCTGGTATATCTTAATCTCACATGCATATTCTAATGATTCTTTAAATCTTTTATTTCACATACTTATATTTGTTGCATATATATAATAAGTTCCAAATCCAATTACTTGCAGTTCTATTAGTAATGTTCAATAAAGCGGCACTTTCTTCATACAGATTTCCAAGTGCAAATGTCATTACTCTACTTCAGGTAACTTATTTGCTCTTGATGCTCAATTGCGTACAACTCTAAAAATTAACGATGACTTTGATTTAATCAAAAAACCGTTATCAAAAACGTTATTTTCAGCATTTTATTAGTTCTTTCTATTACCGTTTTTAGCTATAATGTTATTATTCACCTTTTTTTACCCGCTAAAAAGCTTGTACCGTGCGCTTTTCATACTCATTCTTTGTGTTGCAGATGCTTTCTTCATGTCTAATTTTGTATGTGATGAGATATTTTAAGATCATATCATTCAATAATGATAGATCAAAGAGCGAGCACAACAACAATTTGTTTACTCTTGTTTCAACAAAAAGGTTGTTTCAGACGATCCCTCTTGCATTCACATATCTACTTTATATGGTATGCATTGATTTTTTTTTTTTTAATGTACCTTCTTGTTCTTCAATTAATCTCATAGATAACATTTTATTTCCTGTTTTTTTTTTTTTTTTTTTAAACAATTACAGCTAGTAACAATGGAGTCCGTACGTAATATCAATGTTCCAATGTACACAACGCTCCGACGAACTACTATACTTTTTACAATGATTATGGAATATTTCCTTGCTGGTCAAAAGCATTCTGCTTTAATCATCTTTAGGTATTTGACTTTTCCAATAAGATTAGAATTGCTATTATGTAGGATTTATGCTGGTAAATCAACTTGACAATTTCTTTAATCTTTAAAACAATTTTATAATATATGATAGAAACGAGGATTAATTATAGCTATAACATCTATAATTTTAAAAATAGCTAATCGATTAAAATTTCAAGTAATATTAATATTTAACTGAAATTATGTATTTAAATTTACATTGTATTTCAACGCAAAAGACTTATTATTTTAGCTCGTTACTCTAGAACCATATTTTTATTTTGTAAATTCTTCTCTTTGTAATTAGGTGACTAACCAAAGAGGTACTTTTATATTTTAGTGTATGGTTGAAAAATAAATTTCTATAATATTTCACCTTCTGTAATTGTTTACTCTCTTATATAATACGACACATTTTAATTGAAATCGATTTTTTAAAGCTTTGTGTTAACTAATTTTAGATACGTATAATTCTAGTTATATATATTGTTCATACAAGTATTTGTTTCAGCGTGGGAATAATTATATTAGGTGCTATAATCGCTGGGATAAGAGACTTATCGTTTGATGGTTATGGGTATGGACTTGTATTCACGGCAAATATATGTACCGCAACCTACCTTGCCTTGATTTCACGTATTGGTAGTATTTCTCACATCTTACTCTAGTCATGAAGGTATACTTTAATTGCATTCTTCATACTTTTTTTTTTCTTCGTAATCTTAGGAAAATCTAGTGGCCTCAATATCTTCGGACTAATGTGGTGTAATGGTAAAAAATTCATTTGCAGAATTACTAGAGAAAAAAAATGTTTGTAATATGTTTAAACTGATCTCATCTCTAACATAACAGGAATAATTTGCATCCCCTTTTTGTTGTTATGGACATCTGTAAAAGGTGAACTAGAAGCCATGTTATCATTTCCTCATCTCTACTCTGTTGGCTTTCAGGTACTTTTTACTATTTTGTTTGTTAGCCTTTTAATAGGATCGTTATACAATTCACATCGCATATCTTCAACGGTTATACAAATCTCATCTAATCTATTTGTCAATCAACATTCTGACATACACTAATTCACTTGGATGATTTAGTTAGAGTTATAATATCTTCTAGGGTTTTATGGGTGTCTAGTTATATGTTTTCTTATAATGTCTTTAGGGTTTTCTGGGGTTGTAGGCTACATTGAGGAAATCTTTAAGGTAATCAAGTAATTTAAGTTGTCTTGAAAAAACGAAAGAAAGGAGTTTCGTAAGTTTCTCCGAGAATTTTGTTCTTTCGGGGTAACACAACAAGGCGATTCGTCGATTTCTCGAAGTACCTGCAAAATTATCCGATAGGCTTTGATATAGGGTGCCATCACAACATCGCATTCTAACAATTGTACTTGCAAATCATCAATGATTTATATGTACAAGGTATACTAATAAGGTAGGATAGTTGTTAAAGTTACAAGGTATAATTTTTTTTTCATGGACTCTTAAACATAGTATCTATAAACTAAATAAAATCTCTTGCAATGCGCACAACTTATAATGATAACAAATTGTTTTATGGATTATGATTGATTTTAAATATTTGTGTAGGTGGTGATATGTCTTTCATGTGTGTTGGCTTTCATGATAAATTACTCTGTGTTCCTCAACACAACCCTTAATTCTGCACTAACACATTCAATATGTGGTAATTTGAAGGTACAACTAAGACCATCTTTAATATATTTCTCTATTTGTTATTCTAAAATAGAGTGATTTTAAAATAGAGTAGGGTTTCTCTCCAATGTATCACTCTATTTTATTTTTTTTTGTCAACAGCTTAAATAAAATAGATGCTCAAAAGAGCCATTCCTCGGGAATGTTGTTTAATGTATCACTCTATTTGTTACTATAAAATAGAGTTAGTGTGATGAAAAAAAAAAAAAAGAGTTAGTGTAAAAACTAAAGTAAGAAATAAAGTGTTGTTGAACAATATTCAAATAGCAATGTCATTTTATTAATAACTGTAAATGATATGCATGGCAGGATCTATTTACCATTACACTAGGTTGGCTTATATTTGCTGGACTTCCCTTTGATTGGGTGAGTTTATATTAAACTATTCTCGACTATTTCTTTTCTTTTGTTCTTCTTGACTTTTTGACTTTGCATCTTCACATGAGACATTTTTTACGTGGTATAAACTTGGAAATGATGTGATCACAATGTTGGATATAATGCAGGTAAACGTAATGGGCCAAGCGCTGGGTTTTACCGGATCTATTTTTTATGCATTTTTCAAATATAAAGGCATGTGAAAGTTAACAACATTACCGTCCAAAATCAATATTTTTACAGAATTCAAAACACTTGTAAGAAAGCTTAATTAAACCAGAAAGTTTACAAGATACACAGTTCCAATAATTAACAAAAAAAAAAAAAAGATACAGTTCCAACATGTTTATTTATGCTTTAGGAAATGGCCGGCCATGCTTATAAGTTTATAATCACATTTGTCTCCATTTTAAAGTTTGAGTTCTTTCATTTTAATGAAATATTAATAAAATATATATAAATCCAATTGATGGCCAATGCGTCTAGCACGTTTATGCGCATGATGAATCAAGCCTTACGTCCATTCATTGGTAAATTTGTTGTTGTGTATTTCGATGACATCTTGATTTTTAGCGATGATTTGGCCAGCCATTTATTACACCTTGTGGTGGTTCTTAGTGTCTTTCGGCGAAAATTTTTTTTTGCCGCTCAACATAAATGTATTTTTGGAGCAGCACAAGTTCTCTTTCTAAGTTATCTTATCTCGGCCAAGGAATTAGAGGTAGATCCCAGCAAAGTTGATGCAATTAGATCGTGGCCTACACCTAAAACGATAAGTGACGTTCGGAGCTTCCATGGATTGGCATCGTTTTATCGCCGTTTTATTCATCACTTTAGTAATATTACTGCTCCACCTCACAGATTGCCTTAAAGGTTCTACTTTTGTTTGGTCTTCTGAAGCAAATACAGCCTTTGAGCTTATCAAACAGAAGTTAACGTTTGCGCCAATATTGGCCTTACCGGATTTCTCAATTGTGTTTGAGCTACAATAATGTGATGCGTGTAAGTTCGGCATCCTAGCTGTTTTAAGTCAACACGGGGTCCCGTGGCGCTCTTTAGCGAGAAAATAGCAGGCTCACATGCTCGTTATAGCACTTACGATGTGGAATTTTATGTCATTGTTCAAGCTATCAAACATTGGTGCCATTACCTTTTCCATCAAGAATTTATCCTCTATATGGACCATGATGCGCTAAAACATTTGAGTAGTCAAGACAAAATTTCTGCTCGTCATGCATCATGGTTTGCTTTCTTACAACAGTTTACTTTCGTCATTAAACACCATTCGGGTCGTATGAATAAAGTAGATGATGCTTTGAGCCGCCGAAGTCATCTTCTTGCGACGTTACAAGTTACTGTTCCCGGCTTTGTCGTGTTAAGTGATCTTTATCCTCATGAACTGTATTTTGGACATATTTGGACTGATTTAGAAGCCGGAATTCGCTCTGACTTCGTTTTGCAAGATGGGTTTGTATTTCATGATCGACGTTTATGTGTGCTAGAACGTAGTTTAAGGCTTCAACTCATTAAGGAACTTCATGAAGAAGGACATGTTGGGTGGGAAAGAACTCTACATTTATTGACAGAGTCATATTTTTCGCCATCTTTGCGCCGTTAGGTGGCTCGATTTGTCGAAAGATGTGTGGTGTGTCAACATTCAAAAGGGCATGCGTCTAATAGCAGTTTATACATGCCGCTACCAATACCGACAAACCATGGATGGATATAAGTATGGATTTTGTGTTCGGCTTACCACGTACTCAATGAGGCAATGATTCTGTATTTGTCGTTGTAGATCACTTCTCAAAAATGGCGCAATTTGTGCCTTGTAAGAAGACAACAGACGCAGTTCAAGTGGCTTCTTTATTTTTCAGAGAAATTTATCGTCTTCATGGATTGCCATTATCAATTGTGTCAAATAGAGATTCTCGATTTTTAAGTCACTTTTGGCGTTCACTTTGGCGCTTGTTGCGTACAAGCCTCGACATGAGTTCCGCTTATCATCCTCAATCGGATGGACAAACGGAAGTTAGGAATCGTTCTTCAGGAGATATGCTTCGTTGTTTGGTTGGAACAAACATTAAATCATGGGATCCAGTGGAAACAATGGCTAGAATGCCATTTTCTCCATAAAAGTAATCGTATATGCCACCCTTATATTTTAATTTTATTTTTCATTTCTTTTAAATCAAAATATATGGTAAAAAGTCCAAAAATCCTTAACCTAAACCATAAATTATGTATCCTTGCCATTTCTATTACTAACCCAGATCTTCTCCACATAATTTTCACGCTCCTTCTTCTTCTGGATTTTTTCTTCTCCTCTTCTTCTCCACCATCATCATCAACGCCCTAGATCTCTTCTTCTGGATTTTTTGAATCTTTGATCCCAGATCTCTTCTTCTCCATCATCATTAACCATAGATCTCTTCTTTTTCATGGATCTCTCTTCTCTCTCTTCGCTCTTTTGATCGATTTTTGTCCTTGTCTTCGTTTCCATCACCATAGTTTATGCTCAAATTCGCAAATCAGATATCCAACAACAATCTCGATCTAGATCTCTCCAAAATGGGCTTTGTAATGCACGGGTAAGAAAAAATGGTTCACAAATTTTGACGAGGAAGGGTGAGGATGGATAATCGGCAACGGCGACGGTGAACAAAGCAAGAAGAGACAAATTAGTGAGTGTGACGACGCTAGGGTTTAGAATTACAATTGCTTTGCTTCAGTTGTCCCTAACTATTTGTACTAGTTATCCTTAACTATTTGTACCAGTTGTACCTAGTTGTACCTATTTATATGTCAGTTATACCAATTGTATCAATTGTACTATTATCTTTCAGTAATACCATTTGTACCAGTTGTCCAACTATCTCTCAGTTATACTATTTGTATTAGCTGTCCTATAATCTCTTATCTGTACTAGTTGTACTATTATCTCTTAGTTGTACCAATCGTTTGTTATTTCATTAAGGGTAATTTGGGGATATCACATTTACAGTGACATTCAGATCACAAAATGGCATTCCGGATTCATTTTCTCCATTTAGTGGCAAACTCGCCTCGGACTCGATACAGTGTTATCTAAAGCAGAATTTGCTCACAACCACGCAATTAATTGAAGTACTCACTATAGTTCGTTTCGTGTTGTTTATGGCATCATTCCTCGAGGACCTGTTGATCTCGGAGTTACTCCATATGCTACTCGAGAGCATGGCCAGGCTGTACATTTTGCTGTCGATTTGTCTTTAATTCATTCTCAATTTCATGACAACTTGAAAGTTTCTTTAGCAAAATACAAATCTGACATTGATCGACATCAACGAAATGTGCAGTTCAGTGTTAGAGACTTTGTTTGGGCTGTCTTAACTCCGGACCGCATTCCACCACGCGAGAATAAAAAGCTTAAAGCAAGAAAAAATGGGCCTTTGGAGGTTTTGGAGAAGATCAATGCCAATGCATATAGGGTTTGTCTACCTTCAGATGTTCGTTGTTCCGACGTGTTCAATGTCAAGCATCTTGTAGCAGACATTTCGCAGGACGAGCTTGAAGATTCAAGGTCGAATCTTTCCCAACCCTGGGTGACATGATGCAGGGTGTTGAGTCGGTGTCTCTTTAGTTTGTGTTTTTCTTTTCTTTTACTCTGTTATTTCCCTTTTGCTTTTAACATTACGAATTGGTGTTTTTCCTTAAGTTTTAGTTTCAGTTAAGTCTTAGGATAATAGAAACTTTACAATTCTTAGAAGTAATAGGTCGGTGTCTTTCTCTATATAAGAGAATCGATTATTTGATTGTAAGACACAATTTTTATTGATTAATCTAAAGCAGAGCTTTAAAACTCTAATCTCTCTTGTTTTCGGCTTAGAACAGAGGTTCTCAGCGAACTCAAGATCGAATTTGCAGCTACTATCTTTCCGCTACGTCAGTTAGACACATAATGTATCTTATGATACTAACACATGTAATGTCATACGTTTTGTTTAGACGTTTCATGATAGTCACAATTGTTATAAAAATATTCGATAAGTTATACACATTTTTTGTCCCAACTTAAACTACTTTCAAATAAAATAAATTTCAATAATAACTAATATATTTTAAAACAAAAAATATTTGTACATAAATTACTATACACATTTATTAAAATACTGCTAATATATAACTAAGAAAATTTATATTTAAGTAAAATTAAATGTTTTGAAACATATATGATATAATGATTCGTGAATGTTTCTGAATTTCTTATCTAGCTTTTATATCTTTCCCCAGCACTGTTAAAATGTGTTTTTTGTTGTGGGTTTAGACACATAAAATTTTTGGGTTGACTTAAAACATTAAATTTCTTATAGTAATGGATTTTTGATGCTTTCATTTACATAATTACATTAATCAAAATTGTACAAATATGTCTTAATTGTATTTTTGAACTTTTTGATTTTATTCACATGAACCATGCACACACATATTTTTGGGTCATAACTAAATTAATGTGTTTTCTCGTGAGATGTTATTTGTTTTGATTGAAAGTAATTTATTTTTTCTCTTCACGTTATTGAGGTATTATTTCTTCATTGATTTGTTTTATTAATTAATTTTTATTTAATATTTTTGGCATATGCTTTTTTATTTTCGCACAGATATATTTCATTTAATATGATTTTTTTTTTTCATTTTATCGGCTATATTGTACTAGTATTTCAAAATTCGAATATAATATATAATTTTGAAGTATTGAAAAATGTAGAAACCAACACAGCTGAAAAAGAACATGAAAAAGGCAAAACAAAGAAAAACAAAAAAGGAGGAAAACCCCTTTAATTCTAGATAATATGCACAAAATAGCCAAATTTTTGAAGATAATTAAGAAAATAGCCATGAGCTACGGTAACTTGTCTGTATGATGTCGGAAAGCACGTGTAATTACATACATGCCCTTTATAACATGCTTTTTTCTCGAATTACATGTGATAGAATAATATATCTCTTTTTATCATATTATTTTCCGGTATTACACGTTATTTATAAAGAGCACATGTTATTTTTTGAAAAACCACTCTATTCAGTTTAATATCTTTCTCTATCATGTTATTTTGTAGTAATACACGTTTTTTTATTATGATCACATGTGATTTCTTTAAAAAAAGATTCTTATTTTATAGTAATTCACGGTTTTTATTAAGATCACATGTTATTTCTTTGAAAAAACACTCTATTCAGTTTAATATCTTTCTCTATCATGTTATTTTGTAGTAATACACGTTTTTTTATTATGATCACATGTGATTTCTTAAAAAAAAGATTCTTATTTTCTAGTAATTCACGGTTTTTATTAATATCACATGTTATTTCTTTATAAAAAGATTCTATTCAAGTTTAATTTTTCCGTAACAATGTTTTTTTAAAAAAAACACTACGTAACAATGTTTTTTCTTAAAAATTCATTACGTTTTTTTAAATAGCATGTCTTTTAGTTAAATATAACATGTGAAATTTAGATCTTACGTGCTATTTTGAAAAATATCACGAAACAATGTCGCCTACTGTAGATCTCAAAACAAACGGAGGATGGTTTTGTTATTTCACATCCTCAGACAAGGTAGATCCATGCTGTTTTCCGACAGAAAATTTTCTCTCTGCTAGTTTCTTAATTTATGTGTCCAATTTGGCTATCTACTAATATTACCCTTAATTCTATAGAGTTAACGGAAAATTATACTAGTTCCACTGGAATTATTTATAAAAAAAATTGTATATACCTTTTGTGTGCTATATAATGTTTACTTATTTAATGATAGTGGATTAATCACATAAGAAGGGTCTTCATACATATCTCACTAAGCATTTTTAAGTTGTCACAAGTAAAGATGAAGAGATTCAACAATGGCTTTTTCCAGTTGGTGTTTTTTCTCATCTCTCTTCCTCTTCTTGGTTCAGGGCTTTGCATGGATCCTTTCTCCTACGACCAGTCTTTACAATCAGAGGTATAACAAAAAATATCATTCATTTTTATAAGTTTGATGGACTAGAATGCTTTTAATCTATGTAATTTCATGAGAAAGTGCCTCATGGAGCCTCCACAAACAACTGGCAATACCGTAGGACAGGGATCCAAAGAATTCAAGATAAACGAAAGTGGTGGAATCAGAAATGTAGTAGAGAGAGTTGATCTTCAGGAAGGAAACATATATAGCGTTTCTGGTAAGAAAATGTTGGCTTTGTTGTTTCTTGTGTTGTAAGTTATGATTTTTTTTAAAAGTTATGATTTAAAACTCCTGAATCAGCTTGGGTGAAGTTGAGAAATGAAAGTCAGAGGAAAGTAGGAATGACTTTTAGGGGGAAGAATGGGATAAACGTTTTCGGAGGTGAAGTTATGGCGAAAAGAGGATGCTGGTCTTTGCTTAAAGGCGGTATTACCGCTGATTTCTCAGGCCCTATCGACATTCTCTTCAAGGTAAAAAGAACATAATTAAATTTGTTTTCATTTGTCTTCAAGGCACTACTAATGTAGGAATTTATGAGAAGCAGAGCGATGGCTTAGCGGCCTCGGAGATATCAGTACAAAATGTGAGGATGCAACGGTTCAACAAAACTCAATGGAGGCTACAACAAGACCAAATAATTGAAAAGGTATTATACATATATATATTGAAAACGTTTTATAAGCGTTTCAAACAATCTAAAACTTTGAGAAAAATCGCAGATTCGGAAGAATACAGTGAGATTTCAGATGAGTTTTCAGAACAAAAGCGCATTAAAAGGATCGGTGATATCCATAGAACAAGTCAAACCATCATTCATCCTTGGCTGTGCTATGAACTACCGAATTTTGGAAAGTGATAGCTATAAAGAATGGTTTGTGTCGCGGTTTAGACTAACTTCCTTCACAAATGAAATGAAATGGTATGCAACTGAGGCAGTGAGAGGTCAAGAGAACTACAAATTAGCTGATTCAATGATGCAGCTCGCGGCGGAAAATGGGGTTCTAGTAAAAGGACATACGGTCTTGTGGGACGATAAGTATTGGCAGCCAAATTGGGTTAAGACGATCACGGATCCTGAAGATTTGAAGAATGTGACACTCAACCGAATCAACTCGGTTATGAAGAGATATAAAGGAAGATTAGTTGGATGGGATGTGATGAATGAGAATGTGCATTTCAACTACTTCGAGAACATGCTTGGGGGAAACGCTTCAGCTATTGTCTACTCTTTGGCCTCCACGATTGATCCTGATATACCGTTGTTCCTGAACGAATTCAACACGGTAGAGTATGCTAAAGACAGAGTTGTGAGCCCTGTTAACATGGTGAAGAGGATGCAAGAGATTGTTTCATTCCCAGGAAACAGTAATATTAAAGGAGGAATTGGAGCACAAGGTCACTTTGCTCCAATTCAGCCAAACTTGGCTTACATGAGATCCGCATTAGATACATTAGGCTCTTTGGGTTTTCCGGTTTGGCTTACGGAGGTGGATATGGATAAGTTCCCGGATCAGGTATATATGCAATGCACATTTGCCTAGTTTGAAACTTTGAGCTAAGATAACATAATAAGCAAGCCATGGTTCATTTTATGTGATAGGTTAAATACATGGAGGAAATTCTTAGGGAAGCTTACTCGCATCCTGCGGTTAAAGCCATAATCCTATATGGAGGGCCTGAAGTGTCCGGTTTCAACAAATTAACGCTTGCCGATAAAGATTTCAACAACACAGACATAGGGGATCTCATTGACAATTTACTCCGAGAGTGGAAACAAGAACCTGTAGAGATTCCTATCCAACACCATGAACATAATGATGAAGAAGACGGTCCAATAATCGGGTTTTCTCCAGAGATTTCCTTACTGCATGGACATTACAGAGTGACTGTAACTAATCCAACGATGAAGAACTTGTCCACCAGCTTCAGCTTGGAGGTAACTAAGGAGATGAGTCATCTTCAAGAGGTTCAACTTGTACTTGATGCTTGAAAACTGAACTATATTATTTATCATATATTGTGAATCATCCTATGAGAGATTATACAAAATATATAAAGAGATTTGAAATTAAATTCTCACGAATCCTCAATACTAAACCATCCTCAAGACTAATGAAGATTTGAAATTCATGAAAGGTTCCTCAATAAATCATGTAAGGAACTGAAGAATGAACTTCAATGGTGTTGTTCTTTCATTATCTCGGCTGCTAGAATAACAAGCTCCACCATCTCAAATCCTGCAGCAGAAACAGAATCCGTCCTTTCACAGCTCGATTCGCCATCACTAACTGATTCCATGTCTGATTCCGCCGACCAGCTAATGGGTATAGAGATGCCAAGGGCAGTCTTCAAATGCGTTGCCTCCACAAGGATGTTGGCAATCGCTACTTCGCAACTTCTCGCAGTTGTTTCAGTATCATTCGATTCCTTTACCTGTAAACAGGAACAACTAAAATTTAACCTAACAGGAAAGAACCAAAACTTAGTCCATATCACTCTAGTGTGCTGAAATTACCTTCAAGAGCGCTAGCCGAAGCCTGCGGATCGAAGTAGTCAAGTGTCCCATGCTTTCCAGGTTTTCTTTTATAGCTGCGTATTCTACTTTCATTCTGCCAAAACAATCGCGATAAATCGCAGATGCTTCCAAGTATATGATTAGACAAAGGAAACCAATAAAAGAAAATCTTTGCCAGTGTAAACGTAGGATGCCAAACCTGGAATAATCAATGTTACTGGCATAATCTGCTTCAATGTTCAAGTGACTTCCGCCTCTTGAACTTGGGTCAATCCAACGGTTTATGTAAGACTTCTTCCACATATTCTTTAGTCTTCCCTCTTTCTCATTGGAGAAACCTATCCTGCCACTGGTTTCCGTTGTTTCTTCCCCACTTGTACCACTCAATTTGCTGGCAAGGATATAGTATTTTTAGAGGCATGTAACAGTTACCTCTACATAAGACTCAAAAATATTTACAACACAGTATCATCCCTGAGAAATGTCACTAGTATGGCAGGTACAAGGAAACAACATCACCAAGCAAATCTCTGACTTTGAAACAGAATATAGAGGGAAATTGGTTTTAAAGGACAACTTAGACCATTTACAGGACGTGCAATACCTAACTTTTAATATCAACAACATTTCAGGTTGTCTACATTGTTAGCAACTATGCAATAAATTGCACATAGTACTATGTATTTCAAGTAGACGAGACAGAGTGATAGAGAGAGTAGTACACCTATTCAGAATATACCATGTGTGTAAACATGTAAGCACCAGAAATGGAACTTCATGTAAATAAAACTAGAACAAATCTGATAAAAGAGTTATGAGTAAAGGATGATATCGTACTCTCTTAGCGACTGATATTCCTGTCGTAGTTGTGCTAACTCCATAAGGGTTCTCACCTTTTCGTTGGTAACCTAAAAGAATATTTCAAGATGATTCAGAACTGGCGGTAGGAGTAAACTGGTTATTTTTTTCTATCTCAACATCTGGAAACAACTTAATGTAGAGAAAAGAAACCTGCAAGATATTCCTTTGAAGCTCATCTACTTTCTGCTGGAGAGCTGCATTGACATTTTCTTCATGTAAATGCCTCTCTTCCTGCTGTGATAGAAGTAAAAGAGCTCCAACCTAACAATACATCCAAAAAGAATTAAAAATCATATATACACATTACTACAGAAGAAATAAATGATATAGCATACTCATATGAACAAAAAAGACCCAAGGATTGTTTCTTCCATTAAACATTGAAGACTAGTCAACAGTCACGATACATGAGATGCAATTTTGTTATGAATCTTCTCCACTATTGTATCATGGATCACTAGGAAATGAGAATAACCTTCTCTTGTAATGCTTGTGCAAGTGCTTCAGATGTATCCCCTCTACTTTCAGCCATGATATTGGCAATACTAGCTTCCGCAAGCTGCATTCAGAAGAGAAACGCTCTTACAACAACAAAAAAAAAAGTCATGACCAAACTGTAAGAGACAGTAATGATCCAAATCTCAAATAATAGCTCCAACCACTTTCACATTATAAAAGATCAAGTATGCTATTAGATGCTGATTGTCCATTACGGTTGAGGAATTAAGATCTAGGAATCTCTACGGTTCTAGACATTACGTCGTAAATTAGCAGTTGCCGATATCGATGTCAGTTTGAGATAACCAAACAAATAATGAGGAAGTCCAAAATTATGCCTTCCTAAACAAAACACAAATATAATGACATAAAATGCAGAGCAATAAAGAGGAAAATTTGTAGCAAAATCTGTCAGCAATCACACCTTAGTTACTTGGCAAGATTCAACAACTGTAGTTATATGCACATCCCGACATTCAGACTCATCAGGCTTGAAATCATGTTGCAGTGGCACTACATTCCGTATTTCCGATGAGTGAAGTTTAAGTTTTTCTTCAACATTTTTGGAAATCGATTTAATGTATAGTCCTTCTTCAGTAAGTAAATCAATGATGTAGGCCCTCAGTTGGGAATGGTGATGGCGTATGTCTGTAATGCCATTAACGATCAGCCTATCTGCAACAATCTGTATGCAAGTTAATAGTGACACCTCAAAGGATAAGAGTAATAATCCTAGACTTCAGGAATTATAATGCATTGAGTACCCACATTCTTCTTTTCCAACGCACGAACCCTCTTCTTCAAATGATTTTCAATTTCTAAGCCCTAGCGTAAGAAATATCAGCAGTTAGTGAATGTTGCATCTAGGTTCGTAATACTTGAAGATAAACAGATGAGGAAGGAAAGGATACATACCACTCGTAATTTACTCTGAAGATTATCCACAGTGTTCTTAACCTTCCCCAACTCTCCTTCTAGTGCAGCCTGTCTGAAAAGAGTTGTTCAAATTGCAGATAGAAACAAAATATATGGATATTCAATATCGAGTATACACTAACTTTTACATTACGAGTGAGAAGCTTGCACGAGTTCAGTTTTCTGTAAAAAATTGCAAATTTCGTAAACACTAACTTTTACATCGTTACTAAGTAAAAACTTCCCACATGCCGTCGTAGTTTTGGATTTACTATCCGTGCTTTACGGAAACCATACAATTAAATGTAAACCAGTATTTTCCAGAAAACTCATTTTGCTGAAATCCAGAGGTGCTAGTCAAAGTCAATAGACAAAAAAAGTCTTCTATTTGAACCAACGTTACCAGCCAATGGTGAATAGTCACCGCTCAAACGACGAAATAAGTAGCTTGCCTTAGAGACAATGTCCAAGAAATAAAAGGATTGGAGATATTTTCAGAAACTTACTACATATTCTGATGTTGAAGGATCATTGAACGTCCATGATTCTATAGGATCATCCAATAAACTTGCACACTTATTGTGCAAACTCATTTCAAGGGACTCACAGAGCGAAGCTTTACGGATATCATCGAACTTCTCAATCACCTGAACAGGCAGAGAGAGAGAATAGAAAGGTCAAGTAAAACATGAAAGAATTTAGTCACTGACATTCATGAATATTAAAAAAAAACTGTGATAACTATGAGGTAGGTAAAATATATGGATCGGAAGTTGTGGAATTTTAAGAGGAAAAACGAGGAGAAGAAAAACGTGATGTGCTATAAGGGATGAATTTCGTTGCGAAAAAGAAAATTACCTGTGCATATGTTCTAGTCTGTTCTTCAAGTTTTGCCAAGTCAGCTTGCAAAGTGTCATTTAGTCTCTTCTGTACGAGACAATCTGAGCTAAGTTCTTCCAACCTGTCTCACCATCACCAGGGACCAAACAAGGAAGGTCAGAAAAACATAAGTAACACAAGGCTAGGAGTAAGCATAATGCAAGCTGTATGTCTGTCCAGTTTTTGACACATGGCTTAGGTAATAACATCGACATTTTGCTAAATTCTTGAGCGCGGAAAGTGTTTAAAGAACACTTATAGAGCATCATTTTTAGAGAGATTAAGATAAGCAGATGCAGCTACAGAACATCATTTTTTCTAAAGAAAGGGAGCTAGTAAAATAAAACAGGGTGAACAGGGTTACAATTACCGCATCTCAATTTCACCAAGTTTCTGGGACATCATTTCAGCATTCTCTTCAGCTTTTTCGGCCTGGTCAAAGTCAGAAGAACATCAAAAAGTAAGTTAAAAAGAATACATTCTCAAAATAATGTTGCTTCTTCCCATTAGACTGAGATGGAATTCTCTCATACCTCCATTACTGACTTATCCCTTTCAGAAAAAGCAGCTGCCACAGAACCCTGGAAAAATCTAACCTGCTTCTCTGCTTCCAAGTTCTGGAAGCGAAAGAATACATCAGAATATTTAGATGTTAGGAGGATATGTTCTAAATAAAGAAGATTAAAAATTAGTATGAAATGAGAGAGACCTTTGCTACTTCTCCAGCATGTAAATCCGCTAACTGAGTCTGAAGAGACAGCTTGTAAACATTTGTTTCTCAATATTCTTAAAATCAAAAGCATTTTATTTTAAAAGCTTCAAAGATACTCACTTTCACACGGTAAGCTTCTGCAAGCTCCTCTTGAAGATTGTGTTTCTCCCTTGTGCAAGCAGCCAACTTCAGTTTTAAGCTCTCGATTTCCTGCTCCAAGCTAGCTGTCCTAATAGTATCATCCAATATCATTTAATATAATATTTAGAAACAAGGCTCTTATTTAACACATCTATAACGAACTTAAGTCAAATCAGGAAGAGGGATAATAAGATACCTCTGGAAATGCATCCGAGTAGCCACACCAAGAATGCTAGGTCCACCTTGTTGCATGCACAACTGTTCAATATCTTTCTGTAGTTCGTTACGCTCTGGTGATAAAAAAAAATACTATGTTCATACTCAACATATATCAGGTAATCAAGATGCAGAAATAACATGGAGTCTCAAAAACCATTATACATAATATCTTCAAACACGCATAAAGCACACAGTAGCCACGGGCATATATAAGTACATAACCCATTTCTACAAGTGATGTCTTCAAATGTTTCTTGGGTCATACCCATTTGCTAAAAAACAACCCATTTTTAAGATTGTAAGAAGAAAAAACAAGTAAACAACTAAAAGGAATCATCTTTTGCATCTGGAGAAGGCAGAGAAATGGGAAAAGATCAGAGAGAAACAGATAAGCTAAGTGGTCATGAGAATAAGAAATAGCTTTCCTATGAAATAGATTGGACTAGATGACTCACTAATGCAGCAGAATACACTTCAAGAAGGCTTCAGAGAAGCAAATGTAAGAGTTTAGAAACTATTATAAGCTTCAAGTAAAAACCCATTTCTATAAGCCTATAAACATGTCCAAGGTCTAAATAACTACCACATAGAGACTTGTAGAGAAACCTTACCATGTTCAAGTTGTTTGATCCGAGCCTTTAGGTTCTCATTCTCATCTAAATTAAGATCCATAATTTGATCTGCAAAAAGATCAAGACTTTGAAAAGTAAAGAACTTTCTTGGAAATTTACAGACTCTTGAGCAGATTTGGTGCTTAGAAGAGATAAGAAAATCCCAAAACTCATCAAATCAACAAAGAATTTAGATGAAACCCTGAAATTAGCTTATAGATCAAAGTGAAGTTCTAAAAGCCCTAATTGGAAGTACAATTCAGAATTCCAAACCCTAATCGAGAAGATTGAAATTGAGAAAAAGAAAAAGAAAAAAAACACGATCAGAGAGAAAGTGTTTGTACCTTTTGTTCTTTCTTCGAATTTGACCAAAAATGTCTCCTTTAGTCAGATTATGTTCGCTGGATATTCCGAGAAAAATAATTGTAAAATCCTTATAATTGTAAAAATAATTGTAATTACCAAACACTCTACATTTCAAATGGGAAAATATCCAAAAAAACCCAAACTAATTTTTATTTTGACGTTTATTGCCTAATTATTTTTTATTAGAATAAAAATACCTCAATTAATTATTCGTGGTCATAAAATATTTCGTATATAAACTATTGGTAGAATCAAACCCGCACGTTAACAGCCGTTAACGGCCGTAAAGGAATTAACTAACGGCGTTAAATATCATTCTCATATAACTTAATCTATATATATAATCTGTTCTTATAATTTATGAACATTTTAACGTGGTCCAGTGGAATAGTGCGGCTTTCTCTTCTTCTCCTTTGCCGATCTCTGTTTTTTTCTTTTTTTACTCTCCTTCCCCGTCGTTGACCACCACCGTCCAAGAAATAATACTTCATCCAACCCATGAATAAGAACCTCCAACTCCTCTTCCAAATCGAGTAACAAATCGGTACACCCACACCATCAACCATCACCCTCGTATCTCCAACCATCATTTCACTCACCAAGCCTCTACAAACCCTAAACCTCTCATCCCTAATCGCAGAGGAGGATAATTAAGAATCCCCAGCCCCGAAATCAACCTCCAATTATAGCTATTTGAATTTGAATTCCAATTTTTAGATATGAGGAAGGCGAAGAAGAGAAGAAGAAGAAGAGAAAAAAAAAAAAAAAAAAGGAAGACAAAATTAGGTATGTGGACAACTCGAACCCAAGCTTACCACTTACAGTTTACCACTAGACCACAACAACTTATTCACATAACCTTTTTAAACGATTGTATATATTAATTAACATATTTGAGTTTGATATTTAACGCCGTTAGTTAATTCCTTTACGTCCGTTAACGACTGTTAACGTGCGGGTTTGATTCTACCAATAGTTTATATACAAAGTATTTTATGACCACGAATAATTAGTTGAGGTATTTTTATTCCAATCAAAAATAATTGGGCATTAAACGTCCAAATAAAAATTACTTTGGTTTTTTTTGGGGAATTTTCCCCATTTCAAATATCAAATTTTATTTATTTTTAGTTTTTTAATTTTTTTTTTTTCATCAAACAGAGCACTTTTATTATACAGATAAAATGTGATCCTCATGGAGGATTTGAACAATGTAACTAGGAACATAAAAAGTGGGTTACAAAACTTAAATCATTCGGAATGGGCTCCTTGGCCAAACGATCTGCAGCCCTGTTACATCCCCGTGGTGACCAAATTATCATCGCACTTGTAAAACGCCTTTGCCAACCTTGGATTTCTCTAATCAGGTTGTGTAACTGAAAATCTCGTGTAGTTCCCTTGATGAGCTTTGGGACTAGTCTGTTATCTCCTTCAAAGATGATGTTTCTGAACCCCCTTATCCAGGCATGTTGCATAGCCATTAGCAGAGCTTGTAGTTCTGCCTCTAATGGTGAATTGTCAAAATTGTCAAACAAACATATTTTTTTAGGGAATATGCACAAAATAGCGAAATTTTTGAGGATAATTAATAAAATAGCCATATGCTACTGTCGGAAAGCACATATAATTACGTAGATGTCCTTTATAACATGCTTTTTTCTCGAATTACATGTGATAGAATAATATATCTCTTTTTATCATATTATTTTAGGGGGACTCACAAAAATGCCCCTTTTTTAATACTCCTTTTCAAAAATGCCCCCTCCCTAATAGCTTCCCTGAAATTGACCATTTTACCCTTAATGAGTAACCAAATTGACCAATTGAGGAACCAAATTGACGAAGACAAAATTGGGGAACGACGAACCAAAAATCTCGGCGGCTCTCGTCACCTTCACAGCTGACGAACAAAAGGTGATGAGATCTTAGATCCGTCGATATCTTCATCTTAGATCCGTCGAGTTCAATCGAGTTCAATCGACGAGGATCAATCGAGTCTGTAATCAAAAATCTGTGACTCATCCCAATCTGCATCAATTAGGTTCGAATCGCTTCTGAAATCTGAACCGTTTAGATCCAAAAGTTCATCGAATTCGTCTTCAAATCTGAATTGATTAATTAAGAGCTTCGATTCTGTGTTTATCTATTTTCTCGAATTTGTCTTGCTTGAAAATTATAATTCGTGTTACCTTTAAAAACTTTCTAAAACCATTGTAAAAATTTCTTCTTCATCTTCTCACTGTATTTATGTTCTTCAGTAACTATTGTACACTATTAGTGAAATAATTTTGATTTACCGTGTTTTTTGTGAAGATTGTAAACCTTTAAAAAATATTGTAAAACCATGAAGAACTTTATAAATACCTTGTGAACTATCATAAAGATACATATGTTTAACATTATAATACATTATCTTTTTTATCAGGTCGTAATGATTGAGTTGAATTGCATATCTGGTGTTTGGAAATTGAAAAATAACAATTGTTGGGATTTTAAATTTGATGTTGAAAGAGGAGGGTCTCTTACTTTTATCAATGAGGATACGTGTTTCACTGATTTGTGTGCTGTTGTTATAGAAGATTTTGGAATTGATGTCGGTATTAATATAGTGAAACTCAGTTATTCATTACCCTCTACAAAAGACATGACTCCTATGTATATTAGAAATGATAGGCAAGTGCAAGCATTTATGAAAAAGCTTGCGGAATTCAGAGGCGGTATTCAGCTATGTGTAACTGTTGAGAAGGTATTTTACCAACATTCAATTTTGTAAACTGGTTTAACAAATTTGTAAACAGTTTTAATTATCTTTACAGGGGAAAACAAGCAGTAATCCAATGATGGGGACAAGCAACATCTCAATTAGTAGTGAGAGCAATACAGATCCTTATTCTACATATCAAGTCATGAATGAGGTAAAACAGTAAAGAAACCTTGTAAATTAGTAAACAAATCATTAAAATAGCTTGTAAATAAGTTAACAAAGATTCAAAATAACTTGTAAATTTGCAAAAATTATATTACAGGTACAAATGTATTCTGCAAACCCTGCTCCTATAACTTTTGTTTCAGCTCCTGCATGTCATGTCATGAATGAGGTATTTTCAATTCCCTTACAAATTCTTTGAAAATCAGTAAAAAATCTTTTTAAAATACCTTGTAAAACCCTTTTAAAAACCCTTTTTAGTACACCTTTTAAAATAACTTGTAAATCCTTTTAAAATACCTTGTAAAACAATTCAAATCCAAATTTTTTTTGCTTTTGCAGATGGGATTTGACTCAACCATCCCGGAGAGGGTTAGAACTGAAACGGAATCCTTCTCTAATATATCTGAAGGTTCAGCTCCTGTAGGTGGTTCTACTATTTCTGCATCTTCAAATACTTTGTATTGTGGAAAGTTGTTCAAGGACAAAAAGGAAATGGGAAGGCAGATGCAGTTATTTGCAATGGAGAATAACTTCGAGTTCCGGACTAAGAAATCAGACTCAACACGGTATACTCTTCGTTGCATTGATGAAAAATGTAGTTGGAGGTTACGTGCAACTAGGGTTAAGGCATCAGATAGTTTTATTATTAAAAAGTATGTTAGTGAGCACTGTTGTGATTCTTCGCTAAGGAAGGTTAATCATCGCCAAGCAACTGCTAGGACATTAGGAGAAATGGTAAGTAATCATTTTCGTGGAGAGAAGCTTGCGCTTAAACCTAAACAACTGATAGAAAAATTCAGACACGACAATGGGATTGGAGTTTCTTATTCAAAAGCGTGGAGAGCTAAAGATCATGCAATCGATGTTGCTAGGGGTACACCTGAAGATGGTTATGAGTTCTTGCCAATGTGGATGTACATGGTAAATGAGAAGAATCCTGGTTCTGCAACCTTCATTGAGGTCGATCCTGACAACAAATTTAAGTACGCATTTCTTGCTTTTGGTCCGTCAATTAGAGGTTTAAGTTGATGAGAAAAGTGATTTGTATTGACGGTGCTCATTTGAAATCAAATTTTAAAGGGACTTTGCTTGGTGCCTCAGCACAAGATGGTGACTTTCATTTGTATCCTATTGCATTTGGCGTAGTTGATTCAGAAAATGATGCTTCGTGGGACTGGTTTATGAAGTGTTTGAAGAAAATTATCCCGGATGAACCTGATTTAGTTTTTTTATCAGATCGTGCATCACCAATTGCCAATGCTCTTATTGTTAATTATCCACTTGCTCATCATGGGATCTGCATTTTTCATTTGGAGAAAAACCTTGAGACTGGGTTTAAGTCATCCTCTACGCTTATTCCAGTTATGAAAGATGCAGCTTATGCTTACACAAGGTTTGATTTTGAACAATTGTTCCATGAACTGTCTCTTGCTGACAACAAGATGGCACAGTATCTGTGGGATTTGGATGTCAAAAAATGGTCACATGCTTGTGCACCTGCCAATCGATACAACATTATGACATCAAACTTAGCTGAGTCTTTGAATTCTCTGTTGAAAGAAAGTCGTGAGTATCCAATTGTCTGTTTGTTTGATACAATTAGGTCTACTCTTACCAGATGGTTCAATGAACGACATGAGAAGGGTACTCGTAATAGGCATTCAGTTACTGTGAATGTGATGAAGCAAGTAAAGACACTGTATGATTCTACTGCACGCTGGCTTGAAGTGTCACAAGTGAATCAACACGTGTTTGAAGTGAAAGGAGGTACGTTGGTTCATGTTGTGAATTTGGAAACAAGAGACTGCACGTGTTGTGTGTTCAATATCACGAAAATCCCGTGTGCTCATGCAATAGCGGCTGCAAAACATATTAATCTTAACGAATATGATTATGTTGATACCTTATACTCCAACAAAAGGTATGTCATATTCTAACTTTACAGGTATGTTACTATATAAAACAAGTTATAAAACTGTATTTTAAAATTTTTTATAACCATTAAAAACCTTGTAAATCAATTTCTTATCAAAATCATCAAAAAACCTTGTAAAATATTATAAAAACATTGTGAAACCCTTATCATGTCTTGTAAAAACTTGTTCAACCTCTAAAAACCTTGTAAGACCTAAAAAAACCTTCTGATTGTCTTGCAAACCTTTGAAAACTCTTACAATTTTTTAAAATTACATCTTTGTTTGACAGTTGGACGCTAGCATATTCAGAGAGTATATATCCCGTTGGTGATAGGACACAATGGGAGGTTCCAGCCGATGTTGCTGCTTTTGTTTGTCGACCACCATCTTCTCGTGTTCCTAGTGGCAGGCCTAAGAAAAAGAGAATACCTAGTGGATGGGAGTATGGAAAATCTGCAACAAATTACAAATGTCGTCGGTGTGGTCAAAATAGACACAACAAAAGTAGTTGTGTGGCTCCAATATAGTTTTTATTTTATTTTATTACATAACATATTAAGTATTTTGTGACTTTTTTTAAAAATATTATTGAAAAACTTTCATAACTTGTTATAAAACCTTTTTTACGTTTATTCTTGGAGAAAGGTGTTACTACGTTTTCAAAAAGTTGTTACACTTGTAAGATCTATATAAAATCTTTTTAAAACCCTTGTAAAACCCTTTAAAACACTTTAAAAAACCTTGTAAAACCTTATAAAACTCTTGTAAAAACCTTTTAACCTACAAAAAGCCTTGTAAAACACTTTAAAACACTTTTTAACCTCTTTTAAAACCATCATAAAACCCTTGTAAAAACGTATTAACCTATAAAAACCCTTGTAAAACCCTTATAAAACCCTTTAAAAAAATTTAAAAACCATTGTAAAATCCTTAAAACCTCCTTAGAGAAATAACATCATAAATCTTTTAAAGCCTTGTAAAACCCTTATAAAACACTTGTATTAACCTATAAAAACTCTTGTAAAAACCTTTTAACCTACAAATATCCTTGTAAAACCCTTTAAAAAACTTTAAAAAAACTTTGTAAAACCTTATAAAACTCTTGTAAAAACCTTTTAACCTACAAAAAGCCTTGTAAAACACTTTAAAAACCATTGTAAAAACCTTAAAACCTCCTTATAGAAATAACATCATAAATCTTTTAAAGCCTTGTAAAACCCTTATAAAACACTTGTATTAACCTATAAAAATTCTTGTAAAAACCTTTTAACCTACAAAAACCCTTGTAAAACCCTTTAAAAAACTTTAAAAAACCTTGTAAAACCTTATAAATTAAACTCTTGTAAAAACCTTTTAACCTACAAAAAGCCTTGTAAAACACTTTAAAAACACTTGTTAACCTCTTTTAAAACCATCATAAAACCCTTGTAAAAACGTATTAACCTATAAAAACCCTTGTAAAACCCTTTAAAAACTTTAAAAACCATTGTAAAAACCTTAAAACCTTCTTATAGAAATAACATCATAAATCTTTTAAAGCCTTGTAAAACCCTTATAAAACACTTGTATTAACCTATAAAAACTCTTGTAAAAACCTTTTAACCTACAAAAACCCTTGTAAAACCCTTTAAAACACTTTAAAACCTCTTGTAAAACCCTTATAAAAATCTTGTAAAAACGTATTAACCTATAAAAACCCTTGTAAAACCCTTTATAACACTTTGAAACAAGCTGGATATAAATTGCAATAGTTAACAATATTCTTCATCTAATAAACTGTTCCATAAACACATTCGTTATCACTGTTTTACAAAATAACATACTGGTTTAAAAAGATAACTACAATAAGAAAGGAACTTATGTTAACTACATTCTTTCAGACTTGCTTTTTCCTGATGTAGATATCCCATTCTTGCTGCAAAATAAATTAATAAAAAAGCAATAAGAAACGATTCAACATAAAAAAATTGTTTTCGCATTTATTTTGAAAAACTGTTTTAAATTAACCTTTATTACGCTTGTTGCCAGATACTTCTGTTCGGCGCTAGCTCCATGTTGTTTGTCTGGATGTAAAGCAAGCAGTGCTTTACGTTTTGCTAAACCTATCTCATTGTCATTGTTTACCAAATTGAAGTGATGAACAGTCTCCCATGAACTATTGGACCAAATAATCTGTAATGTATAATAAATTTCGTTAGTTTTTGTAGTTATGAGAAAAATAACAAATTATTATAAGATTACCTGGTGAAGTGATGACATCATAAAAATGAAGTTCTTGTTTTTAGCCCAGAGTATGACCCTATCATCAATTTCCTTCTGTTCTATCTCACTTAGTTTTCGATCTTGGACAGTAAATGACACCATGAAAATATTAGATGTTCCATTTTATTATTAAAAAAAAACATCATTTTTAACAAAAAATAAATAATGGTGTACCTGAATGTTCCTTCTTTAGCCGAGCTTCTTCTTCCTAGAGAAATAAATTAGCAAAACACAGAAGACCATGAAAACGTCTTATTATAATCATTTAAATACGTACTAAAACCTTGTAAAAAACGTTGTAAAATAATTTTGTAAATTATTATGATTTAACTAATGCATACCTTATCATTCACTTTCGATTGTTGTGAATCACTCTCTTGTGACGGCTCCTCTGAGTGTCCCATCTTGTTATGTTGTGCCTCCTCTGTTTGAGCAACCTATAAATAAGTTGTAGAAACATTTGTCAACCTATAAATAAGTTGTAAAATCCTTTAAAAAATGTTGTAAACATTACAAAAAACTTTTTTCATTAATGCATACCTTATCATTCACATTTGATCGTTGTGAATCACTTTCTTGAGTTCCCTGTGGAGCCCCATCCATGTTTCTCATCTCTTCATGTTGTTTCTCCTTTTTTTGAGAAACCTATAAATAGTTTAAAATAGGTTGTAAATTTTTTATAGAAACTTTTAAATAAGTTGTAAAATCCTTTAAAAACGTTGTAAATCTCTTCTAAAGCATACCTTATCATTGACATTCGAGCATTGTGGATCGTTTTCTTCAGTAGCATGTGGAACCTCATCCGTGGCTCCCTCTTCTTGAGCAACCTATAAATTTAAAAGACATTTTAAATCACTAAAGATATTCTTTATAAAAACCAATCAGATTCATTTAGTTACATACCTTTTCATCATTCACATTCTCGTGTGAATCTTCATCAGGTGGACTGCATGATTCTCCTCTGGTCTCTGTTTGTTTGTTTTCTTGATTGTTGATTGGTATTTCAACCTCTTCTTCATCATCAGAGACAATTAAACTCTTCTTCAGTCTTTTTGTTCTGTTGTAACACCAAAAATATATTTAAACATAATCAAATTTGACCATCCTATAGATCAAAGATATATTTAACAAGATATCGTTTTGTTTCCACTTACAACTCCACTTGACGAAGCTGGGAATTCCTTTTCTTCATCATCCCTGGCATCAGGTGCTTTGATCCCTAAATGTTTCTCCACC